AGATCGGTCAGATTCCGAGCCGGTGGCACGGATCTTTCCGAGATTTGTGATCCAGTAGGCATAGTGATAACGTCAGCATTTGCTGATGAATCAGTACCCATTGTAGAGTCTGGTGACGAAATGGTGTTGGGACCACCAGGAGCAGCGAATGAATAGGGTTCGCTTCCATTTCCTCCTGAGCTTGACATTGCAGGTTTCTGTAATGACTAGTCTTGTTCTTGGTCTCGTGTAGCTCGTACGGCTATAAAGAGCGCGTACGGCTGATAACCTGCGAGTGGATCTTAATCAGCGAAGTTTGAAGCTATCACTGACGATCCATAAGCGGCGTAGCGTCGGAACGGAAACCGCACCTTTTCTAGTCGCTTGATCCTTGAGCCAAAGTACATATGGTACATATATATGTACAAGTTGCACTGTACGTGTCGCTGCACTTCCATTCGCAAATTCAATACATATTTTGACCCCCAAAAACATCCGTGAGCAGCTCCAGCCTCCTGTAGTTTCTGCCGGTCCAAACCCGAAGCCTCACGAGGTCTTTGATGGTCCAGGTGGTCTTCAAAAAGGGAGGTCTCTTGGGGGGGTGAGACCTAGGTGCTTGGGGTCTGAAGAGGCTTGGCGTTTTTTTTAATCTATCCAACCAGCCGACCCGGGTGGCTGCATGGCTTGTTCAAAGGAGTTCTGTTGAGGTAGCAAAGAAGATGGAGCTAACTGGGGTCATTTTGTAACATGCTTCTAGAATCCAATCAAACTGAGGTGCCCTGTGAATGGTGCCACTGCTTTGGTCGGACCAAATTTCAAACATGTGAAAACTGTATAAAACTATATATGGCTCATATATGCTCATATATATTAATATAGCTATTGCTATAGCTATTGTCTGCTCAACATTTGAAAATGAGACTCATCTGGAAGTATTTGTGCTACCCTCTCTCCAACATGCTTCACGTGGCAATCGCTCGGCCCCAATTGGAAGCTGGCTTGAGGCACTAAACTGGTAGACATATTGCCATGAAATGTGGCCGGGATCGAAATGGTCTCCGTCCTTTCATCAAAGCACATGTGGGCCTGACAATTCCCAAACATGTGTTTTTGTTCCATCTTTCCAAAACAACTATGACCCAGATTTTGGAGGCTTGTGGAAGTCCGCATCTGCCGTCAAGTCGAACGCAAACGTTGCGTCGTTGGGGCCCCCTGCCGCGCTCATCGGTCTCAATGGCTTCCTGGCAGATCACTCAAGATTGGGAAGGACTTCTTGGTGCAGCTTGACAGCTGAAACACCGGACACCATAGCAATTGCCGCCGCTCCACGGGGCTCAAAGGTTAACAAATCGGAATCAAAGCGCGTTTTAGAGGAGGCAAAACATCGTTTTACTCTCTAATTACGTGAGCTGGTGACGAACACATACTTCAACCACTGCAGCAGTCTCTTGTTTCAAGAGAGTTCCAAATACCAGAAACATGCGCGGGACATGCACCCAAAGCGCTGAGGCAGAATCTCTACACTGGCAAACCCGCGGGGCCATATAAAAGTAGACTGATGCCGTAAGCTGGTAGATCTAGGGAGCTTGTGGATGAAGATCTGCAATGCCCGCGCGCATTCCTGGTGTCCCCTTGTTAACATCCTCGAGACAACAAGAATGCGCTGACAAATGAAGCCCGTAGTTTGCGGGAGGCTATGTCTGTCTCCCTTCGAAATGGCTTTCGAAGTGGCTCAATCAATCACTCTTCTTGCAGGACACCCCATCTTTGAGAAAACCGCCAAACAGCGCCCCCACATGCGCTCTGCGCCTCTTCACCTGGCACAGAATGCGCGGATGACGAATGATGAGAGGTCCTCCACTAGGTCCTCCCTCTGTGCTTAGGTGAAGACCTCCAAGTGGGACAGGTGGTAGCGCCTGAATGGTTGTGAAAAATCCAATGATCTGTGGCCATCCGTGCCTCCTTCGTCATGAAAGTCCCTTTTGCAACCGTGGAGGCCACGTGGTCATAAGAGCGACACAAGACATCGAGGCATCTTACTCATACTATTCAGATCTATTCAGTTTCCCTACAGGATCCAAGTACCTCCATAAAAGGTACCACTGCACCCTCTCATTTCGGTGGCAGTAGATCCATAGTGATCTCATTTCAATGGGTTTCTTGGGGACTGGAGTGGTTCTTAGGGGTTCTGAGCGGTTCTTACGCGTCCCTGGACTACGCCCTGGTTCTCCACTACGCCCCTAACCTGAGGCCTGATTCATAGTGCCATAATTCAGTGGAACCTTTCGACAAGTTAGGCCACCTTGCATCGTTTGAAATGAAGCCAACGCGTACGTGCTCAAAGCCGACCTGTCTGAATGGTCCTATTCTCTCAGGGTTAGCTCAGTGGAACATCGAAGTACCATATCATGCGCAACCCATCAACAAACGTGACAAGAAAAGGGCACCAAGTACCTCACGGACGGTCCGCTATTTTTAGACCCCTCTGTCACCCATCTATAAGACCTTCGAAACAGATGTACCTTCAGCCCTTGGGTGAATAGTTCGTCCACTTGTCTGCCTTCTCTGTTGCCACCCCCACGAGACTGCGCCTCGGAGTTCAGAAGAAGGCCTCCAGTGCAAACACGGATCGAGGAAAAAGCCGCTGGTTCGTTGGTTCACGCAGATTCAGCTGGTGGGGAAGAACTGGAATAACCACATCCTCTTGAAATGATCGCTGGCAATTGTGTGTCTTCAACTATCCTTGTTGGGACTTGCATGATAGTCCATGCCGTTTTGCTGCAGATCATTGGTTTCCGGTGAATTTCTTCTGCAAAACATGCCAAACCATCATGGGCAGGCCGACACTGGAAATCAGTTTTGTACGTAAACGCTTGGAGACGCGGACTTTGGCACTGCAAAGTACTAGCGCTTTCGAAACAACAGTTTACAACTCGTTCAGGCGCGACGAGTGCGACGGACGAGACACGAAAGAGGAGAGCTGAGCGTGCTGTCGTCCAGCGTGCGTGCCCAAACGTCTGCCGGAACAAAATAGGACAGGAAGGGAAACGTAGTTTGTACGCACATACAATGTTGGGATTTCTCAAGCAACACCTTTGGTAGCAGTAGGTGTGGTGGCATTTTGTAGTAAGTTGTATGCTGCTGCGCCGATTTCCATGGCGTTCAAGCAAACTCAAAAAGTATCTAAATGATGTACACATCATTCTCAGAAAGATGAGCTCACTACAAAATGATTCTTATTTCTGCAAAGTACCACGTGCCAGGCCTACCCCCTTGTATGAATTCACCGCTAGCCAAGTTGTCCTTCTACAAAAAGCCAGTGGCTAGAGAAAACAAATCAACATTCCTCAGGAACCAGCAAGTACCAACAGAGATTGAAGGACCCTATAGACTAGGTACCCCAGTAGGGTCCTATAGGGTCACTTATATAACCTCTCTTTGTACCTTGCTAAAATATTAATTGCCCCCACCTCTCCCTGGGACATCCTTTCTATATCTAAGCCAGCTTTGTAGTCGCCATGATGAGGCCCCCCATTCTGTAGTAGACATTCTCACGGGAATTCCAAGCCCAAGTTTAAGAACCAAGATGCCCCTGCAATGCGCGGTATATATATATATATGATCTGCGAAACATACCAATAGACAACGCCTCCAATCTGTACATAGTTCAAGGCCCCAAATCTGAACTTTCTGAAGACAAAGACGCCTCAATGCCTGAGGATGCCTGAGGTCTAACTTCATGAGCTCCACTTCTCTGCAGATGGCACTTTGCACCCGGCTTGGATCTGCAGCTCCAATTGGGCCATGATGGCCGTGTTGGCATCATTCTGGTTGGCCGGTTTGGGCAAACACCACAGAACTTGAATTGAATTTGCCCTGGTGGGACCGCCTGCTCCTGCGTGGGCTCCACCTGTGTTGTGTAGCATCCACCTGTGTCCTCCATCCTCAGCCATTGCACGTTGCACCGCCGCAGGAGCAACCACTGCAGGTTGCACCAGCACCAACAGCGGCTTCTGCATTCTGCACTCTCCACTGGGACCCTGCACCGATCTCAGCTGCCGATTTCCAGCTGAGAATATGCTCGGTGTGGAATCGGTGCAGGCGCAACTCTCGTATTGAAAGACAACCAAGTGTGGAAAGGCATGGAAAGGCATGGGAAAGGCATTGGCATGCCCCTTGGCGATATGGACATATGATCCTTGGCAATTTTTTTGCAGGTGTTGCTATCGCTGGCCGAAACCCAACATGTTCGGCGTTCGACTTCGTCAACTGGGTTGCCTCTAGCAAAACGAATCTAAATGGATTGTATCCACCAAAACAAGCATCTTGAACAAGATCGATGGACCATGGATTAGATTAAACCATATTAAACCAACGAACTCTTCACATCGAAATGCGCTTTCTAATCGTAAAGGTCAATCCTCCCTATATGGTCGCCAATGATATGGATATAGTCACCGATTCAACTGGCATCGCCACATAAGCAGAAATTGAACCACCACGGAGGCTTAACCACCCGCCCGCACCTCGCCCTGCCGAGCGCGGCCGCGCGAGGTGCGGGGCGTTGCTCAACGGAAGGTCCGAGGGCCTCGCACGGCCAAATCGCTCGGAGGGATTTGGGCCACTGGGGTATCCCAAACACGACTAGTGGGACTGGGCGATTTTTGGGCCATTTGGGATGGTTTCAAAGGCCAATGTAGTTACACTCTCGCACATATATGTGGAAGTGGAGAACCCAAAAAGGCCTTCATACGTGGAACTCCTGACATGCATAGCCACCTTCCACGTTAGGGAAACGTGAAGCAAACATCAGCAACTAAGACTAACATAGAACCCACTCTTGCAGCACTAACATGGAAGCTCAACAATAGATAACATCAATACACACATGGCTTCGTTAGTGAAGTGTCAGCACACTTTGTGATATTCACTACTACTGTGATGCTGCTGTAAAATGAGTCCTCTGGATTGGGGCTATAATGCAGCTTTGAACCCATAGTCCAGGCACCAATTGCACAAGTAAGAACATGTATTCCACTAACATGGCAGTGCAAAACATTGCACAGGCAGGCTTTGACTTTTCACAGTCCGCAGTGACTTTTCTACCGCTTTGTTCTTTGTTTCCGTTCTCTCTATAGCGAATTGAAGGCCTGTCAATGTTCGTAATGTCGATGTCCTTGAGTTGAAGGCGCCGCCACTGATATTGAAGCGCCAAAATGCTAGACTTAGCCAAAAGGAGCATCATCATCTCAGGTCTGTGAATTCGGTCGAATCGCAAAGCTTGTGGCCAAGTGGCCATTTGATGCATGTTGCACAAACACCAATAAACATGAAGTCTCGCTCAAGTCTCCAAGGCGATGCTCGAAGAAGATGCGTAAGACAAATTTCAAGTTGCGCAACCGCTTTCCATGAAAGACGTCGAGAATCTTAGCATAAGCTGTTGAATGCCCGGCATGGACCTCAAGACCAGCCCAAGGAAATTCCACGGCGCCCATCTGAGGGGCCGAAGTGACTTTTCTACCGCTTTGCCCTTTGTTTCCGTTCTCTCTAGTGCATTGACCAGAAGCCATACAATGCATCGCAGCTCTATTTGCATCTATCGCAGCCAGTGATCGGCACTCGATGACCGAATCAGAGGTCATGTCTGGACGCCTCCCAAAAGGTCGAGAACATGAGCTTGGCTGGCGAGGAACCCCAAATCAGCCACTGATGCAACCTCCGCAGCACTTATGAAAGACCTTTGGACCAATGGACAGACTGAAGGCCCCGATGGATGATGTCTAGACCTCAAGCTTTGGGCAATTTCCAGTGACCACGTGGCAGTCAGAAGGCCTGGTGGGTCCGCTGGACATCCACACACTTGCACGTCAAGTTCGATGTTCATCTGAATTCCATCGGAGCAACTTCTGGAAGTATCCAAACAGTACTATTCATGTATTAGCTTATAGGCCGTGCACACATGAAAACTCAGGCACCCTGAAACAACGTGCATTTCATACCAAACGGGACCTTTTGGTGCATGGCCGGTGGGAAAAGGCATAGCCAGCTCGAGGGACACCATGTCCGGAGACCGAAGGATGTCGTTCGCTCGATTGCGCCGGAAAAGGCGCCAGCTCGACACGCACACGACACGACACGAGGGGAACCAAATTGAATTTTGCCACTCTTCTTGAGGCGAAGTTCTGTGCCGGTTCAACTTCCGCCTGGACTTGTGGATCCTTGGTTCGGCCTTAATCCGGCCAAAGAGATCCCACTGCGACTGCTCCGAGAACTGGCCTAGCTGGGCGATAGTTGGAGCAAAATACCAGCAATTAAGCACAGCTTTTCATGATGTTGAAACTCACACCTGGCGAGAGTTGGCTGTGCGCCTTGGGATGCGCCTAGAACAATGCTCAACGTCTGGGCCCATGGATGAACAAAGTCTGGACTGGTGTGATGGAGGGGGAGTCTGGCGACAAGCTTGGGTTGAACAGTGTTGATCAACGAGGCGTCTGAGAGGCAAGAGCATTTATGCCTGAACCTCCCATAACGTACACCAAAAACACGATCAACTGAGTTTTTTGTAAACGAGCTCGCGCACTTGTGTGTGTGTGTGACCACCAGCAATGCCTTGGATGGCGGGCAGGTGAACCAAACCATGGGGGATTGCTTTGGATGCTTTTGAGAGGCCGGGGTATGGTACCCGCCGTTGAATGGTCCATATCGGTCTCTGGTTGTTTGGGGTCAGCGCGTGCAGGTGATCCATAACCTTCTTGAAAGGGAGTTCAAGGAGGCCAGCTCTGATCATGCAAACCCGCAGCAGGGAGAGTTTTCTTTTTTCCCCTGTGGCACCGTGTCATCCACATTGGATCTTTGGTAGGGTGTCCTGTGATCATGGCTAGCCATGTCATCGGCTGTGGTAGACGAGTGGGAGAGCGGTCCAGTTGGGTCACCGTGGAGAACTCGTTCACGACACAAACAGGGGAACCTTGGCCGAAAAGAGATGTGATTCACAACGCGACGAAGTCCTGGGACCACTGTTGTTACACCTGGGTGCCTTGTCAGCGGCCAGGAAAACCACTATGATCTGATCAAGTTTAGTCCAACGCCCCACTAGCCATAGAACTAAATTCCTATCCAGACCGCTCAGGACTTCGCCCCGCTGTTCACCCACGAAATTCCTTGGCGGCAGAATTGTTCAGTCTGGCGGGTGAGGCCACGAGGAAAGCCACCTGTAGATGGAGTCTTGCCTTTGTTTAAGCTTAAGACTTAAGCCTTCGCCCGCCACTTGAAGCCTTGCCTATCAACAAACTGGCCTAAGAGCTTTGGTGAAGGGCGCTGCATGGGCACTTCGCCGCCTTGTGACAGAGTTTGCACGTGCGGCTCGCCGGCCGCACATCCCGTGGGAACCGGCCATGAAAGGCCTTTATATTCAGAGCGGAGTCCCTTGACCGGAGGGTTCCCCGGCTTGATTGATATAAGCAATGCACATTTTAAGCACATCGATCCTTAATTACGATCCTGTAATTGTTCAATCAAAAAGCGAAAAGAGGGTCTAATCCAAGATTGTAGCAATCTAAGGTAGTTTCGACGTCGATGCAAAGAATGGGGAGGGTGATGAAGAAGGATGCGGTGAAGGTGGTGAAGAGGAACACTTAACAAATGATGAATGCATCGAAATTCCTGAGGCCGGATTCTTTTCATATCTTAAGTTTCATGACCCCGCTCAACAATCCTCGACCAATCCTCCGCCCTCACCGCAGCCAGGATGCGGAAGAACGCCGCAGAATGAAAGCTGTACCTGCAGCGTCAGCTCCTGCACCAGCAGCCCGTCCAGGTCCGCTCATTAGAGATGCTTCACCACAAGCACCAGTACCAACAGGAGGTTTCCTGGTTTCACTTATTTCGAGTTGAACGTCAGTTCTTCGAGTATCACTGCAGTGCAGATATGATCAATATTCACTGTTATTGGGTGCGATTGCGGCTTAGGCAACAAAGCCTTGAGCTTGAGGGGTCCATCGTTGAACCGGTTGAACACACCATCACCTCGAGGTGGGATAATTAAAGTAATTAAACTGCACTGAGTGTGCTTTTCAGGCATAAAGTACGTTTTGTTTTGAGTAGCATCCCACCGCCCTGCAGGTGTGGCTGTTGCCAGCCCAACACCGCCAAAGGTCGCTCAGGCGGACAAGCACTTTCACACCATCAAGAGACAGTATGAAGGGTGTGAATGCAAAACATAATGTGGTGCCTATGCAATTGACATTGCCGGTTTGAAAGATTTGAAAGCTGTTCCATGCGCTCCGCCAAGTTTTGAAAAGGGTGGTGGGACCGATCTCAACAAGACCCCGGAAATCGAGAGGCTAACCTTAGCCAAACTGGAGGAATACAAGCGGTTTCAATTTGAGTTGGAGCGTTTTGCTCAAGACCAAACGCTCGATTGAAACCGACCGGTCCTCCGTTGGCTCACTTGGCAGCAGTCTCGCCTCAAGATTTCTTGCAGAAACAGTGCATGTGATGACATAATGATATGACAAGGACTGTTTTTTGTTCAGCATACATACAAATATATATATATATATATATATTGGCATTGCACATTATTGCACTCAGTTAACTCCTTTTTCGGCCAGCTATCTGAAGGTTTCAAATGTTGGCATGGTCGCCAACATACCTTGAGTATGTCAAAAGTGCCTCTCTGGGCCTTTTATGACTTACTTAGCCAACTGCGGGCTAGGACCTCTGTGGGCCTGTTTGCCTCAAAAGGGCACACTGTTTGCCTCAAAAGGGCACGGCTATCTTGTCAACTGCCACGACGGGCTTATGCCTCAGATGGGCTCGGCTATATTGGCAAGCCGTTCAATGTTCAACTATCAAGGAAGCAACCTCCAAACAGTTCCAGCCAGTGCTCAAAAAAGTCTTCCACAAAGCTCCTTTCCTCAGCCGGAGAGAACCGGCAAGAGATAGGGCTGGGCCGGGTGGGCCACACGTGGAGCCTAGTTGAGCCCGTGGCCGCAGGAGTCATTTCGTGCAATTCATCTCACCTGCGGAAGTTTACATTGCACTCAGTTAACTCCTTTTTCGGGCAGCAATCTGCAGGTTTCAAATATTGGCGTGGTCGCCAACATACCTTGAGTACGTCACAAGTGACTCTCTGGGCCTTTTATGACTTATTTAGCCAACTGCGGGCTAGGACCTCTGCGGGTCTGTTTGCCTCAAAAGGGCACACTGTTTGCCTCAAAAGGACACGGCTATCTTGGCAAGCCGTTTTTCAAATGCCACGACGGGCTTATGCCTCAGATATGCTCGGCTATACTGGCAAGCCGTTCAACTATCAAGGAAGCAACCTCCAAACCACTAACCAAGGCACCAAGTATCGCCGGAGGTTGGAGGGGTCCTCCGGCACTTGGCACACACGGCCATGCGCCACACGTGGAGCCTAGGAGTCATTTCGTGCAATTCATCTCATCTGCGGGAGATTACATATGAGATATCGTCTGGCGTTATGAGGGCCCGGTATGGACAACATCGATACTCAGCCGATGTTTGGAGATGCTGTTTCGACCACCGATACTCCCAGACTCACGCGCCAAGACTTGCGAAAACAGCGGCAGTTGGGCACTGACACCAGAGCGTGAACTACCCACCTGTCCATACCTGTCCCACCTTTTGACCTTCCCAAAGTTGCCAACCAGAGAAGCCAAAAGCGAAAACCAGAAGGGGTAAGGCCAGTAAGCGAGTAAGCCTGACAAGAAGGTGGAAGAGGAGGCGGACAAGCCTTTGAAGAGAAAGGCTACAAAAGCTGCTGAGCTGAGCAAAGGTGACAAGTCATCGAAGAAGGACTCCAAGAAGAAAAAGGATCAAGACGCCTACAAACAGAAGTTGCCCCGCAAGAGCGCTGCCTACCACGCCGCCATTCGGCAGGCAAAGTCAGAAGGCTTGACTCCAGAGGAGTGCAAAGAGCTTGGTCGTGTGGTAGCCTGCCTGCACTTGTAGTACGAATTATGTGTATGTGTCAACTAGCGCCAATTTGTGTCGCTGAAAAAATGATCATCCAACTGAGGCATACAAAACTACAGAGTGATGATTTTCCAGAACATCGGCTTGGGCACTTGTAGGGGCATTGCGACAAGCAATACGGATGTATCCGGCACCTGTTTGCTATAGACGCTTTGCTTTAGCTAGGGGCTGGGCCTGCAGAGCTAGAACCTTGCAAACTGCATGCAGGGGAACCTCTGTCACGGTTGTTGGCGAATGGCTGAGAAAACAGCGCAGTCATTTTGCACAGGCGACATACTTGCAATGGTAACTTCAACTAATATACATGTGCAGTGTAGTAGTCTGTTTATGCATGATCTGTTTTGTTTGAACTGGTCGCAAAGAGACCGGACCAAACCGAGCGCCAGGCGCTGGTCGCGAAGAGCTGTCCAACATGGTCTCGAGCACTGCACGTAGGACGTAGGCCAAAGCCTTCAAGTCCTGCCAGCTCAGATTTGCTTTATTTAGATTCAATCGATCACTTCCGTATGCAAGGATCGGCTCATGACGGGTAGCTCGGTATAGTGCTAGGTCCAAAACATGGCCGAATGAGTGGCAAGATATCTGATGCACATGGGAGCGCCCAAAGCTACTTGCTCAGAAGAAAAACCACTGAAGTGCACTTGCATCCATGACATGGCCTGATATATACACATATCCAAAATTACCGAACGCCTAGGTTCTGGTTGCTGTGGTCGGGAACTCAACCTGTACGTGGATCAAAATCAAGTCAGGTGGGCTTCTGGCACCTGTGGCTTAGGTGCTGATGCTGGCTAGGAGTGATTTTCCAAAGCAAGCCCAACCCGTACATTTCCTTGAAGTCTTTTCAGGAGCTGCTCAAACAACAAAAGAATGGCCATAAACCTAGCTTGTACTTAGGTCTATGAAACCGAGAGATCATTCTACCCCTCCTCCTCCTAGGCATAAGAAAGGGTTCTACTGCGCAAGCTTTGACTTCGACTATTGCAGTAAATCTATGGACTTTCTTGGAAGTGCAGGCTTCTTGTTCCTTGACAAAACACCCTGACTTTAAAGCATGCAGGTTCATTTCCAGTGCCCAAGCCCAACCCCGGCCCAAGGCTTTGCATCCACACTGTCCTCCAAGAAGTGGAGTCATGGCACCGACATGTCACAGATCTGCTCCTCGTTCCTGCAGGGTTCTTCTTAGGTCTTAGGTGAAAAAACACCAATCGTTCCCCAGCAATGATCTTTTTGGATTGCTCTCAAAAGACTCGCACTTTATCTCTCTTGGAACTTGGAGTCGCCCGTGAGATCGTCGATCCCAAACAACACGTTGAATCAGCAACTTTTGAGGGGTCACACGCCAATATAATCGCGGGTTTATACCTCAGGTTGGACGAGGCCGCCATCAAATCCAAAATGGTGGAGATCACAAAGTCACGAAGTTGGATATGGCACTTCACAAAATGCAAGTGTCTGTTCTCCAAGAACTATATAGGCTATATTAAAACATCACCAAAGCCAAAGCCGAAACATCGAGGTTGCCTCTATGCGCTGCATGACGCGGCCCAGGAATTTGAAGTCTGCCATCGCCCCCAAGGGCTAGGCTGCTCCGGCGCCGTCTCGTCCATCCAGGCCTTCGGCCAAGGCAAAGGCAACGACCAAGGGAACACCCCGGGAGAAAGCAAGAAGGGGCGCCTGGTGGAAAAACAAAAAACATGGACTGCAGTTCTTTCGATGTAGGTCATATATACATTTTGCAATATTCTCAAGACCTCGTCATCTCCGGATGCAGGTGCCTGCTCACGATCGAGATCTCCATCCAAAGGCCAGGTCTAGCCTCAGCGATCCAAATCTGCACCGGATAAACACTGTTGCTCGCAGGTTCCAGCTCGTCTTCTACAAATTCAGATCTAGCGGAGCTCAACTGCCTATAAGAGGGTCATGGCTTTTTGAGGTATTTTGCATACATGTACTTGTGCAAACAAAGGTTGAGAGGCCAAAAGGGGCGAACACTTAATGTATTTTCTATTTGTGTATACGGGCCACCTGCAAGACCTTCTATAATATATGTGTTCACCTTAGGCAAAATCTGCCCATCGAGTGGTTCGACTTGCACGTGTGACCAGCAAGAGAATGAAGAGATTGGGTGCCTTGGCCTTCGCGCTATACATGAGCACTTGGGGTTTGCGCATTTCAATAAAGGATGCAAGACTTGCAGCACGCTCATGCATGCAGTGCATGTTCATATTTTGTAGGCTTGGATTGCAAGAAGCATGATGAAGCATGCGTGGGCCAGGCGGCAAAGATCCCAAGCTTATGACGCTTTGGCGAGCTCAGGGCAAACATTCACAGTGAGTGGCCGAAAACACATTTCCAAGACTTTCCATAGAATCATCCAAAAAGAGGGCCGGCTCCTTCCTGTGCACGTTTGAATGGTAAAGTTGAAGGTCCAGCTGCGTCGCCTGACAGTCCGTGAAGTTTATCTGGACTATCCGTTCATCGGTCTAGAACAGTGGGGCCGCTACCTACTGGAACACAAGTCCAAGTATGTCCTTGGAGGTCATAGGATTGGGAAAGACTCCGCCCGATACACGGAGATGTACAATAGGTTCTGGGGGAGGTACAAAGTCCTAGATCCACGGCATATTATGTTCTCCACCTTCACCGACTTTGGCAGAATCATTCCATACTTGATTCATGGAGACGAAGGCAGGGGGAAGAGCAAAAACCCGATCTTGATCACGTCCTTCCAGTTCCTGTTTTCCGTTCACGGTGAGCGCCAGACCAATATGAAAGGGCATCCCGGCTGGAACTTTGACCTTTTCAACTTGCGCATATATATATATATATTTTTATATGTCCCCCTTTCTCTCTTCTCGGAAGCAGCTAGGCGCTCTTTTCTGGAGCGCCTCACAGTTGCTTCAGTGAGGCCAGCACCACGGCCAAGCCTCTGTGAAACGAAGCTGCAAGCCCTCATGAGGGTCGAGGCAGATCATCTTGCATGATCTGTTCTGTTGCCTCTTGTAGGCCTCACCAATCCAATGGTGCCACCAAACCCCAAACACACCGAAGCAGTGTTGGTGACCGGGGAAGGATGGTGGGCAGCCAAACAGCTTCGAAGAGTGGGGGACATATTATCGTGGCTCTACTTAGTAGAGGCGACACTCATTGCAATGTCCCCCTTTCTCTCTTCTCAGAAGCAGCTACGCGCTCTTTTCTGGAGCGCCTCACAGTTGCTTCAGTGAGGCCAGCACCACGGCCAAGCCTCTGTGAAACGAAGCTGCAAGCCCTCATGAGGGTCGAAGCAGATCATCTTGCATGATCTGTTCTGTTGCCTCTTGTAGGCCTCACCAATCCACCTTCATGCAGGAAAAGCAAAAGAAAAGGACTCACCCCCTCCGCTTCCTGCCTCCCTGGCGCAGCCGCAGAAAATTCAAACGCCATGTCCGAATCCTGGGGTGAAGGAGACTTGCGCCAATTGGTATGTGCCTTCATCAATGTATTGCTTTGCAGTTTTGCCACAGGACCAACGACCACGGGCAATGGTGGCGTCCAGACTCAGCGAAGACTGAAAGAACCAGGTAGCCCCTCCCCGGCGCAAACTGTAGGGAGTATAGTCATCCTCGGCAAAGCCCAGCCGCCGAAGCAAAGCAGCAAACAGTTGACGAAAACGATGCGGCCCATCAGGCCACAGCAAACTTCTCTCTCCCGGTCGGCGCAGGGAGGAGGCATAGGCAATCAAATCAGCATCCAAAACCAAAAGAACTTGTGGATTGCCTTGCGACGTCTTGCTGCCCGGGATGATGAGGCTCATGCCCTTGCCATGGCGATGGGGGACAGCGAGAGCATTTCGCTTGTCCTTGGATCGTGTCCGGGCCCTTCTGTTCAGGAAGACGGCCACTGCCAGGAGCTCCCATTCGTTGATGTGGGCCTCCTGGCGCCATGCATAGGACATGATTGTCCGCCATTGCCATCTGGTGGCTAAATAAGGTTGCTCGACCGTCCACTTCCAAGAACGATCTCACATCTGAGCCACGGTAGGTGGCATGACGCAGGAGGGATGACAAATGCTCCTTCTCCCGGCCTTTGACCATGTAGGTCCCCTTCAACGCCAAACTCTCCACCATAGGGCCCGCCACGTCGGCATCTGCCAGACGGTTAGTCGCCAAGGCCATCTCCTCCAAGAAGTGGGCCTCTCTTGCCTCAGCTACAGCCGCTTCGAACTGGCCATCTGCTTCAATCTGCTCCCTCACAGCCCGCGCATCGGATACTCAGCCTCTTCTTCGGTGTCAAACCGTAGGGTTCCATCAGGGAGCTCTTCAACCTCATAGGATCGCAACCCGGGGTGTCCGGGACAGTCCATGGACAGGTGACGCTGCAAAGAAGGGAGGTCACTAAGGATTGCAAACCACTTCACCCCGCTCCCCTCCGAAGCAGCAATGCGATGCGATCGAATACTTCATCTCAGGCCAGTCCTCCATCTCCTTAACCAAGCGGAATTCCCACATCCAGGAGCGACGAGGGTGTTCAACCGACCAGTAGACCTTGCTACCCCGCCGGTCCTCTTTGCCCCTCTTCAGTGCCTTGAGCACCACTTGGTTGGAGCGGCGAACCCTTGCTTTCATATCCGCCTTTAACCACGGATAGCCCATGACGTGGTGGGCGTCTCGAACCGGCTGCGGCCCCTGAATTCGGTGCCCATTCCTCAATGTGATGGGGCGACCACGGGCCCTGCTAAAGAGCTTGCATTCAGGCGCCCAGTGTTCCACAGCTAAGCAAGGGTCCTCCATAAGATCTGCTAACGTTTGCTTCCCTTCAGGGGTGAAGAAATTGTCTCCAAAGAACCTGTCGTAGGGCGGCTGCACCTCAATCTTGCCCACCATAGCCACTGCGTGACTCAAGGTGCCCGCCTGCCTGCAAACCTCTCACCAAACTTTGGAATCCTCCATGTACTCCTAGGACAGACCTCATCGCCCTCTCGGTGCGTCAACACACACGAGAGTGAGCACAGCGTGGCCCCACACACCGCCGGACACGGGTAACGGTCATGTCCCGGGATGTCTTTGCCGCATTGAGCACATACTGCTGGGTCCCGTTCGATGGTGCATGGCTCAGCTTGGAACTCCACAGCCGTGGCTGCACCGCCCCCTGTGGGCGAGGCGTCTGTGATCGACACCTCTGGGTCTATCTTGGCCTTCAAGTACGTGTACATGAGCGGGGTCAGCAACACTGTCATGGCCACTTCATCCCAACTGTCGGGTCGAGGTGTCTCCCGGTCGTTTTGCTTGGCTCTCTCACTGATCTCCTCGAACACGCTCTCGAGGATGGAAAAGAGGGGGCGCCTAAAGCAACATCCGAAAGTTGCCTTCCCCACGAAGTGCCTCAGTTCAGCCTCTGTCTATTTCTCCTTGGCCAGAAGGGTGGCCCCCAACGTCATCACATCAACCATCTTCTGAACCGCCAGACCGTAGCGGCCCTCTTCTCCGTCTAACTCACCACCCTGTAGGGCTCCTAGTGTCGAAGCCACTAGCCTCTTGCCATCATTGAGCGGCAGTGCCAGGTCCTCGCAAACCCGAAGGAAGCGCTTGTGCCTCTCGGACATCTCCGGGCTCAACACTTCCTGGCAGCCCTTCTTGAACTTTCTCAACTGGTCGTACGAGTCTAAGTAGATGACCGTTAGATCTTCATCAGCAGGAAGGGGCTGGGCCTTTGCGATCTCAGACTCCACAGGGATGTCCGCCTCTTTGAAGACCAAGGACCTCACAATGCTTTGCACTACAGCCACACTGCTAACCCAGCCCATCGGCAGTGCTGGATACACCATCTTCCCTGCCACTCCTCCCAGCAGGGATGCATCCACTGGCTTCTCAAATGCCATGTACTTGTACCAGACGGGGGGCAAGCGGAAGAGGTTGAAACAGCTAGTGAAATCCTCAGAGTCCACCAACCAGACTTCATCCTCCTCCTGTTCTAGGAGGGTGAGCTGCCCCGGGTATGGCAGGAGCTTGTCATCGCCATCCAGGCGGTCCTGCAACATGTTGCTTGGGATCAGGTTGCTGATGAACCTCTGGGTCAGTGGCCACCACCTTTCCTCCCACTTTCTTCTCCTTCTTAACTGCACCAGCTCCGTTGAGCACCGGCCTTCCCTTCTGATCTTTGAAGACCTCATCCAACTCAACGGCCACCATCAGACCTCGCTCATAGGCGGCACTGACCACCTTACTCCACTCCTCATCGGAGGCCCTCACCTTGGACTGGTGGGGCTCGCTTGGCCACTCATGAATGGGCTTGAGGCACGACGACGGGTCCAACAGCTTTGCCTTCAACTTCTCCGCGAGGAATGACAAAGCATCCTGGACGGCTGCTTGTCCCACACCCGGCCAAGCTGCTATCACTTTGTCCGCTCTGATGTCCTCCATCACAACCACAGGCTCACCCTGGTAATCAAAGCGCACATCAGCTAGGCGCTTCGCCGTCTCTTTGAATCGGCCACATTTCAACTTGCGCTCCTCCACGTAGTCCAGAGCGCGCCTCAAATGATCGACTGTGAGCTTCTGAGCTTGAGTGAGCTCATTCTTGACTTCCGGTGTTGTCCAGCCTCCCTGACCTTGAGACTTCGCCAGGTAGTTCAAGGCAGTCACCATACCAGCCACTCCCTGAGCCTTCACCTCACCATGCGCCTGCAAGTAGGCGATCACCGCTTGTGGGTTAATGGGCAGCAGCTCATCGCCCCGCAGTGACTTTGAGGACTTGTCCTCGAGAGGCGCTCCTTGACTTCGTCCCAATTGCGCTAGGCGACTCAGCGGCGACTCTTTGCCCTCAAAACTCCTCCACAAGCCATAGAACAGCTCCACAGGTGTGCGCTCTTCGGCGAGGTAGCCCTTCAAATCTCCTGGACTTGATGACACAGGGAGCGGAGAGGGCTCTCTGGTGACAACCGCTGCAGCTAATCCTTCTTCTCTTTCTCCCTTTCTCCTCCTTTGCCTTTTCCTCTCTCTTTCCCTTTCCGGCCGCCCTTCTCTTGGCTTCCTTTTCCGTCCTTGCCTCCCCGGTGCTCCCGGTTCATGAACACCTCCTCGTCTCTCTCCAGGAGGCCGCCTGCGTCCGGACCCAGGAGCTCCAGGAACTGCACTGCCTGCCAATGACCGTCGTGGCAGCTCTTCTCGATGGCCTTGAGGCGTTGCCCCAATAAGTAAGCTTCCTGGCCAACATGTCCAGCGCTGTGCACAATGTCCTCATCTCCCGACGTGCTCTCGACCCCAGACGCTGGCCCAACTGCGGCACTATCATCGTGTGGAAGTAGTGGACGGCCGGTGGCGGGGTCAGTTCGCCTCGATCCGCTGGGTTCGCCCCCACAGCCCCTTGGGCTCCCTCGACCTGCATCTTCAAGAGAAGCCTTGAAGCCAGGCGGCCCGGTGTTGTTTTGGCGTACTGCATCAACTTGAGCTGATTTGATGCCTTTGGGACTGTGGGGGCTTCGCGAAAAACTGCCTCCGACTCACTGGAGGACTCACCCTGGAACCTGACGATGTCACCACCGCCAAAGGGCCCCCGATCTCGCTGGCCCTTCTTAGCCGACGCTGAGGCCTTCCCTTCAACACCTTCACCAAACAGAGGACTCCTCAATATCTTTCTTCTTTTTCTTTGCCACCCGGGCCTCCTTGACCTTTTCCTCATCACCGCCAGCTGTCTTCCGCTTCTTCTTTCCACCTCCAGAGGAGGGTGACTCCTTCTCCTTCTTCCGTTTCTTCTTAGCCTTGGTCTCAGGCACCGGCTTCTTCTTTCGTTTGATCTTCTCCTGCTTCATCTTGGCACTGACACCTTTCGAGGTGGCCTTCTTGCCTGACAGCTCCCGCTCCAAGCGCTTCACCTCATCACGCGCCTTCAGGAGTTTCGACTTGAAACCCTCCTTTGGCGGGGCTCCCATTCGTCCTCCTCATCAGATCATTCTTCACCTGGGTCAACCCAGGGTAAAGCGCCCTTGGCCTCCTCTGTTTTGGGCTCCATGCCTTTCTTCTTCAAGAAGTCCATGAAGTGCTTCTCCATAGTTTTGCCAAACGCCCAAGCTGGTACCCGGTTGTTGAACTCCTTCTGGCCCAAGACCCTGAACTTCTCGACGTGGATCGATGCCCCTCGCCTGGTGACTTTGCAGTCATGCGACGACTCCTCGCAGAAGTGGTAGGCACACTTGGCCGCCAGCTTCTTGCCTGCTCCCTCTGTCATCCACCGCTGCATGTGGGCATCACTCGCGCCTATGAATTTGGCGGTAACCCAATGCCCTTGGTCGTCGGTGGATAGAGCAGCTGCGATCTCTAGGATCACGGTGCCTTGGGCATGTCCTTCATTGTCCCGGATGGAGCACTCCACCATCTGACCAGGGACAAATCGGTGCCCATACCATTTTTCTCGGTCCACACCCCCCGCCAGCCACATCGGACTGGCGGGGGGGTAAATCAGTTGCTGTCTCAGCCAAACAGCTTCGAAGAGTGGGGGGACATATTATCGTGGCTCTACTTAGTAGAGGCGACACTCATTGCAATGAATAAAATTAAATATGTATATATATATATATGCATGTGCACACAAATCTGTTTCATGTGAGTTTGAAGTGAACCAGGCACTCGTTCACCACGAGACTGTTGTCTTCGCTGATGCCCTCAAAGAACTATGCAAAGCACGATGCAACGCTCGATGGCATTTCCGGGTATATGGTCACTGACTCCAAACAGTGTTCACCTCCGGAATCACAGTGACATGTCATGATACGTGCTATGCTTCGATTCTTTCCAAACCGTGCAATTTGTGGTGAGTTCTTTGAGGTTCGTGGAGAGTGCTTTTACGTGTTGCTTGCGTCGTGCTGAAGGGCGACTGGCCCTATCTCCGCAAGGCCATGAGTCTGGCCTCCGGGTTCTCATCAAAACGGGTTTGCCACTTTTGTGCCAAGACTGACCCTCAGCCCGAAGTAAGCTCAGTGCACGTGTTGTGAGCTGGTCACTTGCACTTGGTGCGTTTCTTCTTGGCCGACAGTGCCGAGGATTGAAGCTGGGGTCAGAAGGATGTCTCCATGATATAGTCATCCCGGGAGCCTGCTCCATGGACGAGCAGGAAACACGCTGTGCGCTATCTGCACTGAGGAATGCGCCGGGCGCTGCACCTTGCACATGCGCACGGACTTGGCCAACACGTGGGCCTGGAGTTGGAAAGGAAATCATTGGGTTGGCTGTACTTTCATGTTGTGACCTTCGCCTAGTTCGAGCTGGTTCACTAGAGGCAAACCTGTATGAAGACTTTCGCCAGTTCTGTGTGGCCGATCAAGAGCCCTCTAAGATCAACGAGTTCTCAAAAGCGCCAGCTCAAGATCCAATCGAATCTTCGATATAGTTAGTTTGTGCACTAGCATGCCATGCAAACTGCTATGCGTGAGCAATTGTGCAATGACCGTGCAGCTGTGCCCAGGCGAACCAAATTCCCTGTGATGGGAGGACAAGGACACGATTGCATTGTGCATAAGTGGCTGTCAAACTACTTGGACAGAGTCGGCTTTGTATACATGTCATGTGCATGTGTACACACGTTGCTAAATAACATGCCATGCTCATGACAATGAACTCATATATGCATCCTGCCAACATGGACTATTTCGATATCATGAAGTACACAGCTGATGTAGGGAATGCATGGTTTCGTGGCCTCTACCAACACGGTGTGTGGATCGCTGCACATGACGCAGCTGCTCTGTTCATCCCCGGGCTGAGGAAGGGTATGGAGCTCTTGCCCGGCTAATCCGGGAGAGGCAGCAAAAGCTGTACAGGGTGAAGCCGAAGCTGCACATGTGGTGTACCTTTGGCTAGTATATTTTTGGGATCCATTTGTTTGGATGGCCTGGAAACACATCCGTCCTTACTATATGTGCATGTATACCCGAGGTGGGAGATACAAGATCAAATCCATAACGGAGCCAACTACGTGATCAATCCACTTTGCAAGTTGGCTGAATACTCGTGTGCATGTGCTAGCCTTGCTATAGCTCAGGTGGTGCTGTGTGTGGCTGAGGCTTTTCTTGTTGGCAAGATGAGGACTACGTGGGCAAAAGTGGCGAGAATATCTCGCAAAACCCACAGCTTAACCACTCGCGTTCGCTCGTTCAAATGAGTGCTCATGAAGTACAAGAGGACTCTCAGCACATGAAAAAAGAAGGCCGCTGGGATTCCCGGCTGATGCTTGCTTGTCCAGGTCGTCCAGGTCCAAGGCGGTGTGAGTGGCGGTGCGCGCTGGAGGGTGGGACCATTAGTTCAAAAGCATTTGGGATCTAAAACGAGCAGATTTCGAGAACTCGAGCAGAGTAATCTAAAAATATCGTACCCAAAAAATCAACAAATAAGGTCCTGGTGGGGAAAGGGCCAAATGTCTAGACCAGCCTGTTCATGCAAGGCTTGATGATACCACAGAATGGTTGTCGCTGAGCTTGATGAACCCTGTCCAGGCTCTAGACGTCCCCAGAAACAGGAGTCGGCTGATTTGCTGCGGGGCGTAAGGCTGTCCTCCACAAAGATTAAGCGATGCTGAGGCTTTGACACGGCAACAGGAATACGGTGGACTGAGGCTGAGGTGCAGAACAACTCGATGCTATGCTTAAATCATTTTGAATGCTAGCTTGAATCGTGTTCACTTCGAACTCGACGAACTGATGCGGTTCCAGGGGTCGTTCTCGCCAGTGATTGTTTGCCAGCTCCGGAGCTGAATTTGATTCCATCCAAAATGAGATGCATCTTACTGGGTCGATGGTTTGTTGGCGCTCTCTGTCATTGTTGTGACTTGTAGGAACAAAGTGTCAGTGAGCAGGCAGTTGTATGGACATCACGACCTCAACCGGGAGATTGAAGTTCTTCTGGTTCTGAAATGCACAGATTCACATGGACCCTGTTATGAACAGCCCGGCGTTTGCTTCTTGAATTGCAGCCGAGCTTGGCGCTGCGCACCAGCCCGGAGCGCACAAGCTTGCAGGAGTCGTTTCACTCATATGAATTGAGTGAGGACACTCAGATGATTACATTGTCTCAAAGGGAATGGCTCAAGAACACACCTGCCTAGATTCGCCAGGTCAAGCGCGCCAGGTAGTGGCCTCAGTGGCCTTACTAAGGGCCCATCTGAGTCGCATTTGGGTTGCAACATGTTGCAACCATCAGGGCCATCTTGTAGGAGGAGGTCTTCTATTCTAGATCCAGTCACAAACCCAGCAATCATACGGCCTCCTGGAAGCTCTTGCCCAGCATGCTGATTGTACAGCGGCAGGGTGAAGCTGGGGGCTGGGGCGTCTTCAATCCTCAGCGACGGCGGTTCTGAGGCAAACAACCAAGCTGTGGTGGCGGTGACTTCAAAAATGCGCCCCAATCTACTTGAGCGTCGTAGGGTCTTCTCCTTTAGGACCCTCTCCGGGCTTCTGGCAAACCCTCACTTATTCATCTTACAACTCTGATGCTTCTCTGTGGGTGGGCGGGCGGGCAACCAGAAACGGCACAAACCTATAGACCTACTACAGCACACAAGTACAGTCACTAGACTTGCTCTCCAATTCATTCGACTGACTGTCTTGGAAAACCTGCAAAATGTCACTTGGAATCTGGATGCATGTACTGAGTCGGCATTCGACCAAATTCACCAAAGCAAAATGGCAATGACTTCAAACAGCAGCAGCAGTTGTCTGTGCTACTTGAGCGTAGTAAGGTCTTCTCCTTTAGGACTCTCTCCGGGCTTCTGGCAAACCCTCACTTATTCATTCCGCTGACTTGGAAGACCTGCAAGATGTCACTTAATTTCTGGCTGTCCTGAATGTAAAGCTCTTGTTGGGCAAAGCTGCGTTCTGCCCTCAAATGGTCTGCCCAGTCAACGTGCTCAAATGGTCTGGTCGAATATGATATGACAATACTATGTGGTGTCTAACAGAAATGCACAATGCTTGGTGGGGTTATGGGGTGAGATTGCGGAGATGCGGCTTTGTGGTCACGGAGTCATGGGGTCTAATGGTCATGTGATGATACCTTCCTCAGAAGGAGGCTGCCACACTGCCACCCTGCAACCTCAGAGTACGCCCTTTCATTTCTTGACAATCCAAAAAACACATCTTACAACTCTGATGCTTCTCTGTGGGTGGGCGGGCGGGCAACCAGAAATGGCACAAACCGATAGACCTACAGCACAAGTACAGCACTAGGCTCTTGACCAGACCGGATATAATTTCCTCACCAGTTCATTCCACTGAATGTCTTGGAAGACCTGCAAGATGTCACTTGGACAGTGACTTCAAATGGCAGTTGTCTGTGTTGCTTGAGCGTAGCACAGTCTCTTCCTTTGGGAACCTCTCAATACGCATTTGCTGCGCCGAAGAAATCTTGTTTTGGCTTCCTACTGCCACTGATGCACACAGCTCGCGGTTTTCTCAAGAACTTGTTGCATGACAGACTACAAAGATGAAGACTTCTGCCTGATGCTGATGACAACGTCTGTGCTCTAGGTTTGCAAACTGTCCAAACATGAATTGCAGGGGCAGGGGCATAGATCCAAGCTTCATGTGTTCATGTGTAGTAGTGAGCTTAAGATCAAGCGTGAGCGGTGCGGACGATAGCCAGGGCAGGGAGCTCTGGCTGAGTTTCGTGAGGTAGGTGAAACCAATAGAGCACATTAGATATGGGGCACAGGTCAACCAATCATATAGGGATACTATGGTGGAAACAACAAAATATTCAAAGTAAAGAAATACGGCAAAGGGCAATTGCCCGTCCTCCCATGGTCACCTTGCACAGATGACTTTGTGGATGTTTGTCCGCCAAGGTTTCTTGAGGGGGCAAACATCATGCCTTTTTTTGCCAGGGTCAAACATTAAAACACGTTTGCACGAACGGATTGCTCATGGTACAACCGCCCCCTTGTCAGCAGAAAGCTTCTCTTTGTCCGCCAGAGTCCGAGTCCCCAATTCTCATTGATGGGACTTCGATAGCCTCATCGAAATGCAGCTGGGGACGTCCCCAACTTTGCGCAAAGCAACAACAACTGAAGAAATCATGAGAGATCAAGGCCAGTGTCTTTACCTCAAGCACTTGTGCCAAATTTGTAGAACTGTCTGGTGCTGGGTTGACCTGAAGGATTGGTCACACATACTGCAAGATTTAAGCTTGCCCAACATGAAGAAACTGTCCGAACAAGTCAAGGCCCGTTGAAGCTTCAGATTGGAAATTCTCTGGAAAACGAGTTGGAGAGAATCTTGGAGACGCAAAACTTTTTCTTGACTTCCAACACAGTGGACGAAGAGATGCGTCGGCGGCACATGTAGGCTTACTATGGGGGAACAACAAAATCGTGCCACTTGGGGCTTGGATTCAAGAATTGTTTTGTTGCTGCTGGAACTCTAGGTTTGCAAACTGTCCAAACATGAATTGCAGGGGCAGGGGTATAGATCGAAGCTTCATGTGCAGCGAGCTTAAGATCGAGCGAGTTTTTTCTTGGCGAAGTGGTTCGACCTTCATGAGCGGTGCCGACGATACCCAGGGCAGGGAGCTCTGGCTGAGTTTCGGGAGGCATGTGAAACCAATAAAGCGCATTAGATATGGGGTACAGGTCAACCAATCATATAGGATTGCTATGGGGGAACTCTAAAAGAATCCAAAAGAACTGTCTGGTGCTGGGTGGACCTGAAGGATTGGTCACTGAAAAGTTCGCACAATCTTGCGCGGATCTTTCGCGACTGCATGTTTTGCTTTCGCGAAGGCATAATACATTAACCTCTCTTCAAATTGTCACTTGGGAAGTTTTGGCCGCTGCTCATCTGGAACTCTGCTGCGCTGATGTACAACGGCTCCGTCCTTGGTGCTGCAGGTCCCTTTTCCCAGGCAAAAAAATATCTCACGACTCATGCTGCAACAATTGAACAATCAAGTCTTGTGAACCTGCTCCATTCAAATTCCCATGCTGAATATGCTGCCTGGTATGCACAGGACTTAATCTGCCAATCTGGCACAGTGGGAAAGTGCGTCATCTCAAGCTGTAGCAGCAATTAAATTTGCACGCGCAAAAAAGGGCTTCCCAATATGCAGCAAATTGGAGACCTTGCGCAGGAGGATTCTTTGCGGAACAGCTCTTGAGAAAGACCGTTTCTGTTTGCACCTCTGCTGCACTACTACAGTAGTTAGATGTGAACAGTAATTTGGATTCTCCATGGAGAGTATCCGTGCCAGCATGCTTGGGGGTTCACTCAAAGAACAAAGTCCGCCGAGCCCGGACATGGCAGCTGCTTGAAGAAGGAGGCCATATGAATGCGTTTCCTTCCACAATATCTTTCCCATCCAAGCGTTTCGGTCTGCAGGCTCAAGCTCCGACCACTCACTGTCATAAGGTAAAAGCCTTCATGCCTCTGGCTGAAAACATCTGATGGCCCTGATGGCTCTTGCCAAGCAGTCTGTGGAGCCAGTCAGGTTGCCACTCGAGCAAGACCAGCTGTTGGCTCACAGAACGGAATCGACCGAACCAAAAAGCAAACTTTGGTGAAAAGCAGCCAACTGGGACAACTTCTCAATCCTTGGTTTTTCACAAACAAATGTGTCTACTTTTCAGAAACTAAGTTGGAAGTCGGTGGAAGAAGGAATGTGAAGGTTTTTGTATCCAATGAGGTGCACCTGCAACCCAAAGAATGATCCAAAGCTCTTATGTCAAACAATGCTTCAGGGTTCAGTTGCATGTTTGACACCTGGACCACGCAATCAGGCAGGCTGTTCACCACGGGCTATGTGGATGCGAGGTTTTCGGACCAACGAGCTGGCATACTGGTACCTTCATTGTCAGATGCGTGTTCGCATCATTGTGCAGCCTGTTTTCCTCTTAAGAACCCTTGCAAAGGGTCGTCGCTTGTACGTGCCGCTGGCCTTGCTGACTCGTTCACGAAGCGACACATGAATAGTTCCGCTACGTACGAGCACGCGACCGGATCAAAAGCGCCAGGAAGAGACCGGATCAAAAGTTCACAAGCTCTTGAAAAGAGCCTGCCATCCCGCAGCAAACCTGTTTCGATTCGCTCGTGTCGATTCCGCAGGTCCCTTTTTTACCGCGACATCCACACCCTTGCATGTCAAGTTCAGCTGTGGCTGTGGACACATGAAGCCGCTGTCACTCTGAAGCAACGGAGTTCCATACAAAAGGATCTTCCAGAATTCCTTGAAATCCACGGGCTGGGCGTCTTGACCCATGGTCTTATGCTGAAACGAAACAGCGTCCACGGCACATGTCCTCCATCTCCACCAAACACATGTTCGCTTGTCCATTGGATCGCGCTCGCGGACAAACAGGCAGTCTCTTGTGAAGTTAGCTTCCTTAGACATCCACACCCCGTGTCAAGTTTGACGGCCGTCTAATTCCTGTCTGCGGTCATATCTCCAACGAAATCCCATGCAAAGGCTTTTGAAATTTGTGGAAAAGCATGGCACTGTGGGAAGTGGTGTCATCTCAAGCCCTAGCATTATGAGTCATGGGTTCACATCGTTTTGCCCGTGACTCCTATAAGGACCCCTGCAAGTCTGAGATCTACCTCACGACAGTGACTTGTGTCAAGGTCAGGCGGATGACACCGCAAGTTCCAAGCATGTTTGGACTTCCGTGAGCGGTGACTCATGGCGGAAGGCAAACAAGTCTCAATGGCTGGAGACTTCAGCCTCTTCAGCCTCTTCAGCCTTTGACATCAACACTCAACACTCAACGGAAGCTCAGGCTGAATTCATCCATTGGAGATGATTGGAGCAACTTCTCGATTGGAGCTCCAGTGTTAGCTTAGGCTGTGGACGCATGAAACCTCAGTCACTCTGAAACAACAGTATTCGGTACAAAAATCTTTCGGGAATCCTTGGACCCCTTGACCGATAAGGGAAGGCATTGTCATCGGTCAATTCCATGCACCGTGCCACACCGTGTCCTTACGGAACATTCGATCCGTCGAGTGAAAAGTTCAGTCGTGAGCGGGTCCAACTGCAGCCAAGGACGGTCCGTATTTCTTGCAGCTTGAGGGAAGCTAGTAACAAGTGTATCGCTTCTAGTAACAAGTGCCCTACTAGTGGGAACAAGAAGCGTATTTCTTGCAGCTTGAGGAATCTGCTTCAACTGCCTCCTTCTCAACTTGCGCCTCGAGCGTCGGACGGAGCACTGGAGGATAGCGAGCGGCTCACATAGTGCAGCCGAACGCGGCCCTTGAAAGCTCAGTGTCGTTCTAGAACATCACGAACTCATGAGCTCTATTTGTGGCAAGTTCTTGCTCTGTTGGCTAAGATTGGAGGTCATATGTGAGAAATGTGTTCAAATGCTTCGACTGCATAACATGCATGGAAGATTCAGCATTGGAGGATTCTATGTGCACACAAGCCCGGTGACACATGACCAGGTCACTGTCCAGCATATAATGGCTTCGATTGAAGGTTATCGATGTCGCTTGGCTCTGAAGACTGAAATAAGAGAAGGAACTCGGCGCCATGTGCACGCTCATTCACCGGCTCATCTCCTCCAAGTATGTTGGCAGTCAAGGTTATAGTTATTGCTTTGGGTTGAAGCTCCTGTGTCAAATCGTTGATCGTCTTCATCTGATCGGGATTCCTTTTTTTCTGACCCGCAACCCTTTTTTTCTGACCCACATCCTTTTTTTCTGACCCACAACCCTTCTTTTCTTCCCCACAACCCTTCTTTTCTGACCCGCAACCCTTCTTTTCTGACCCACAACCCTTCTTTTCTGACCCCCAACCCTTCTTTTCTGACCCCCCAACCCTTCTTTTCTGACCCACAACCCTTCTTTTCTGACCCACAAACCTTCTTCTTTCAATTGGATCCGCAAGCCTTCAGTGTTGATCCATATATCTCGTGAAGTAAGGGCAGAAATGATTACATTAGACAACACAGACAAAAACAACATTGCTCAACACTTATTACAGGCTCAATGATTAAAATTAGCTATTTCCGATGTATCACACGATCACTCAAACCTTCAATGCTAGAGGTGGTGAAATTAAGCTGAGTATTGCAGAATAATCTTCTAAATTGACTGGTGCCTTCATCAGCTTATTTAGAGCACCTAGAAGTGGCAAAAACCTAAACCGTTTCTTGCCAGATATGTATACAAGCGATGGAACAACTTCTACAATCCAATGATATATGGAAGAATTAATGACACAGGAACCGCCAACACAGAAGACTAATATGGTAGAGGTTTCCAAGATGCAACACGTAATTTAAGTTGGCAAATTCCATTGAGCAACCCACAGAAATATCCATAATTTGAAAGCCAAAGTTTATCAGAAGTGTTTTGTTTTTAAAGAAGAGCTATACATTACATGAACCCAGACCAACATAGTTTTTAAGTTGTTCTTATCAACAATGCAGAAGTAATAAATTCGTTAAAGGTATGTCATTTGAGAAAATGGCGGCCATCAATTTGACCGGATACAACGCAAAAATGTCGGGAATTACAAATTTCACAATTAAGGGAACAGAAGGAGCACTTGACCCTAATGAGCAAATTACTGAGGTTTTCGGCCACATGCTTTCATAGACTGTTCTGGAATTGAGAGAAAGCGGAAGTGTTGTACATGAAGAAAAATCTATATAATACTAAATACAATGATGAAATACGAAAAAAGACATGCAAAGACTGGCAACCGTGTTCATCTTCAAAAGCAGTTAATGAACTTCAGCCCCTTTGATTTGAGGGATACTTCATACCTAGACCATTTACATACAGAATCGAAATTAAGGCAGTCAAGGGGAGCAATGCTCTTATTAAGAAAAGACATGATAGAAGCGAACAAGAGGTCTAATTATGGACAGAATAACTAATGAGTTATCTCCTCCAAACTTACCTTACATGTCAAAGCAAAATTTAGAAGACAGAGTTAAACCACTTAAACATCTGGCAACATCCTTCTCTAAACTTTCCCCTTGGGTGGCTCACCAAAGGGTAGGCCAACTTGGAAGGGCCACTTCCCTGCATTGGCCACAAAAGGGTGAGTCAACTTGGCATGGCCACTTCCTTCTCCAAATTTTGCCCCTGCGTGGCCCACACAAGGGTGAGTCAACTTAGCGTAGCCACTTCCTTCTCTAATTTTTTCCCCTGCATTTGCCAACACAAAGGGGTGAGTCAAGTTGAAATGGCAACATCCTTCTCTAAATTTTACCCCTGCATTGCCGACAAAAGGGTTAGTCGACTTGGAATGGCAACATCCTTTTCTAAATTTTTCCCCTGGGTGGCTCACCAAAGGGTAGGCCAACTTGGAAGGGCCACTTCCCTGCATTGGCCACAAAAGGGTGAGTCAAGTTGGAATGGCCACTTCCTTCTCTAAATTTTACCCCTGCATTGCCGACAAAAGGGTTAGTCAACTTGGAATGGCAACATCCTTTTCTAAATTTTCCCCCTGGGTGGCTCACCAAAGGGTAGGCCAACTTGGAAGGGCCACTTCCCTGCATTGGCCACAAAAGGGTGAGTCAAGTTGGAATGGCCACTTCCTTCTCTAATTTTTACCCCTGCATTGCACACAAAAGGGTGAGTCGACTTGGGAGGGCAACTTTCCTCTCTAATTTTTAGCCCTGCCTTGGCCCAAAAAAGGGTGAGTCAACTTGGCATGGCCACTTCCTTCTCTAAATTTTACCCCTGCATTGCCCACAGAAGGGTGAGTCAAGTTGGAATGACCACTTCCTTCTCTAAATTTTACCCCTGCTTGCCCACACAAAAGGGTGAGTCAA